ACATTTGTGCTTATACAGTAATATAATATGCAGTAATACAGGTTCCACATTACAACAATTTTCACTCTTTAACAGTGATCTGGTCCCTAAGCTGTCAAACAAATGGGGGCTACTCTATAGCTCTCAAATTCCCACAACGGAATGGAGAAATTCTAGGAGATGTAGTCAAGAAAGTTATTTTTTTCAAGCTTTCAGTGGTCTACCTTCTCTAGTGGCAAAGCATCCCTTCTACCACATCCTTTAGGTTCTCAGCTGCCCTCCAGGCTAGCATAACATTGCTTTCTAACTGGGCTTGAGGTTAATGCATTACAGAGAAATTATTTATGTATTTATTTCCACCCTGCCCTATTTCCAAAGGTTTCAGTGTGGTATATGATAAAATCAGTTTAAGCAATTTAAATAAATTAGAAATATAAAGCACTAAAAATTAATTATTGCCTAAAAACTTAGTCAACTACAGGTATACCTCAATTTCACAATGCCTTTTATAAATAAGTTTCTTTTTACAAAGTCCCCCCCCCCCATCTGAACAGCCTCCCTTCCCTTTCCTCTTCATCCTCTGTCTGTCTGAAAGCATTTATCATGGGGTTTTCTTGGAAAGGTTTGTTCAGATAAGGTTTACTAACACTTTCCCCTGAGGTTGAGAGCATGTGATTTGCACAAGGTCACTCAGTGGATTTCCATGGCCAAGCAGGGAATCGAATCATGGTCTGCAGAGTCATAGTCCAATGCTCAAACCACTATGCCACCCTGAAGGTGCTTCCATTTAATTTGGTGGGGGACTTTTCCTTTTTGCTCCTTTTAGCCTGCCTATTTTTTGGATCAGTTTGAAGACTAAGGCAATTTTAAATCAACAGTTCCTATCATATTGTTTCTGCTAACGGAATTTTTTTTTTTTTACCCCATGAATGAAAAGGCTGGTTTTATCTGGCATCCTATATTAATTATTCCCACATAAGGTAGACCCATTAAATCAGTTGTTGAATGGTGAGTCAACATGTAGGCAAATCCCACTGATTCCATGGGTCTATTGTAGTCAGGAGTAACAATAGGATTTAGGCCTTTAATTGCAAAATTTTCTCAGCTGCCTAGAGCTTCTGGAGACAAAGCAGGAAGTTTAAATAAATAGATAAATAAATAAATGGACAAACAAATATCAAATTCCTGCTTGAGCCCTGGATCTCCTGATGAAGCAGCTTATACTAATTTTCCTGCCAAGCCTTATTGTGAGCTGAATAATTTGCTCTTCCCCAGCATGCTGTACATCTTAGCTTATGAAACTATCAACATATTTATATATTGTCTTGCATTATTTCTTTCTCTTTTTTTGAATTCCATTTCCAGACCTGCTTCTTGCTAGCTCATAAAAATGACCTGCATATATATATATATATATATATATATATATATATATATATATATATAAAATAAACCGCGCAAAGCGTATGGCACTTATATTTATTGTCAAAATTAACATCTTTCTGAAAGTTCAATAATAACGGTGCTACCAGGGATAGCTCTTCCTCCAAATGCTTCCCTTGCTAATGTTCAGCAGGCGAGACTTGCATTTATAGTCTCCCAGAATAGAGTTAATGCTCATAAGTCTCCACTCTTGTACGCCTACAGCTAAATCATGGTATCTAGCAGATGGTCCATGTGTGTTTCCTAATGCAGTGTCTTGTATGTGTGTAGTTGTCATAATTAAATAATAGTTCTCCATGCCATCTCGTGTAACAACAGATCCAAAGATGTATTTCTCATAGGCAAGGAGCCAAGTGATTCTTATGTGTGCCGCAGGAATCTAACACACAAGAGGAAGCATCATGCATAAATAAGGCATGCCTCCCCCCCCTGCACACTCTCACACGTCATTGACTGTTTGTTCCACTGTTTATATTGAAAGCATGGTGCTTCCATACACATCCATGGTGCTATGCAGACTTCCAGAGGAACTAGTTCAATATCACAGGGCTGGATGCAAAGGGACCTCACCCTCCACTCCTTTTTTCTTGACCAAACCTGTCGACGTTGAGTCCTGGCAATTAGTATTTGGGGAATTTGGAGAATTTAGTCAGGTTTCACCTGGAATACTGTATCCACTTCTGGGCACCACAATTCAAAAAAGATATTGAGAATGGTGAAAGGTCTGGAAACCATGACCTATGAGAAGCAGCTTAGGGAGCTGGGGATGTTTAGCCTGGAGAAGAGAAGGTTAACATGTGATATGATAGCCCTGTTTAAATATTTGAAGGGATGTCATATTGAGGATGGAGGAAGTGTTTTCTCCAGCTCCAGAAGATAGCATACAAACTACAGGAAAAAAGATTCAACCTCAACGTTAGGAAGAACTTCCTTATGGTAAGAGCAGTTGAACACATTCCCTTGTAGAGTGGTGGAGTTTCCTTCTTTGGAGGTTAATAAACAGAGGCTGGATGGTCATCTGTTGGGGGTGCTCTGATTGTATATTCCTGCATGGCAGGGGGTTGGACTGGAGGGCCCTTGAGGTCTCTTCCAACTCTCTGATTCTCTGAATTGCCATTCCCAAAAACAGTGACTAAGGGCAAACAAATGGAAGTTCAATCCACACATACTAGAGGTGCTTCTTGTCAGTTGAAAGGAGCATCAGGGCAGAGGGATTCAGCCTGTGCTGGACAGGACTGCATTCTCCTTAATCATTTAGGTTAATAGTTTGGGTATAATCCTGGATTCAGCATTCAGCCTGGATGCTCAGGCTTCTACAGAGACCAGGCACACAATTGCACAGTTAAACACTCACATGTCATCTTTCCTGGAGATGGTTGATCTGCCTTAGTGACAGCCTGTTGGGATTATTGCAATATAATCTGCATGGGGATGTGTTTGAAAAATTTTGAGAAACCAGCCCAAATAGCTGCAAAATACAGTGTTGACTGGAGCTGGTTTCAGGAAGCACATGATTCCCCCAATACAACAGCTTCACTGGTTTATATTCTGTTTTTTGGCACATTTCAAATTACTGGTTATGACCTATAAAATCTTATGTGGCTTGGCTCCAGGCTGTCTGAAGGACCATATCATCCCTTATTGGTCTGCTCAGGTTTTGATATCTTTGGGGTAGTTCCTTGTGAATCCCACCAGTCATAGATGGATCTGATAGGAAAATGGAAGAGGATGTTCTTGGTGGCTGCTCCCAGACTTTGGAAGTCCCTTTCTAGACTGTACACATTAGTTCCCATCTTATTATCTTTCTTCCATCATCATCATCATCCTCATTGTATATCCCATCTTTCTCCCAATAATGGGACTCATGCCACCTCATTGACAGGTGGAGACTTTTCTATAACAATAGACTTTGGGGAACTAAATGTTTTTAGAGAAAGGGGTTTTACTAGTGTATTTATTTATTTATTTATTTGGCCTTTTTAATAGATATGTTTTAATTGATTTTAATTCTATAAATAGTTTACTTACCGTACCTTTATTTATCCTGCCTTTCTGTCAGAAGTTACCATTTTAATGCTAAAATTTGTTTTGTTTTTATCTATATGTGTTCTTATTTTATTTACTTTAATTCTCTAAGATACCTTGAGTTCCAGTTCTGGGGAAACAACAACAACAAAAACATAACATAGCAGCAATGTTCCTCTGCTCCTTTTTTGGAACAGAGAAGTGGCAGCAGATTATTTCACTCTTGTGGTAGAATGAAAAGAACCTTCAAAATTTCCATGAAATTAAATTAATTTTAAACTTCATACAGAGGATTAGGCCCTATTTATTGTTACATATCTTCTGTGATAACTGATGCAGGCAAAAAAGCTCTAGGGAGAGAAATCAAGGTTAGCCATTCAATAACGTGTCAGAGAAAAACAAAACATTGTTGTTTAATTCATTGTTATTGCATTTTCACTTTTAGGGAGTGAGGAAGTTTTTAAATGACTTGTTCTGCCTCAACTGACAAAATAATTTGGCAGGCCTTGGGAATTGGGCTCTTTGACTTTGGATGAAGTTGAATGGGGAGATCTCATTTGCTTCCCTGCGTCAAGCAGCAAAAATGTCTTGGGTTATGACTGTTGAGCATAGCTGTGATCTCGAGGGTCAAACTTGGGATTTAACATGGGCGTACTCTCCAACTGGCCCAGTTTGGCAGGGACAGTCTTGATTTATCCCCTATCAGCCCAATTTTTCAGCTGTTTTCAAAATGTCCCAGTTTCTTTCTCCTCTTCCCACTTTCCCCCTTTGTCCTTTTCTTACTTCCATTGCTCAGACTGAGTTCAAAGTGGAAAATCAGTTTTCAGTCAGCTAACACATCAGGTGGGAGAGGAGAGGAGGGGGCAGAATCTCTCCCCTTCCGTAAGCTCAGGCAAAAGCAATCTGATGCAACCTCTCCCAGTTGGTGTGTTCTTCCTCACGAATACACGTTTGCCCCCTTGATCATACTCATATGTCCCAGTTTTCATCTGTGAAATGCTGGAGGGAACCTGACAGATTTGAGCTAAAGGGCCTGTTAACACAGAGATAGGGAGACTCCTCATGAAAGTCAACCAAGGGCCAGATTGTTAGCCTCATGCATTTCACACACAGTGGCATCACTAGCTAGGGTGTCACCTGGGAAGGGTGCACATTTGCCCCTCGTGTGCCAAAGTGGGAGGAGGGCCCAACTGGGTGTCACCTCTCCTCTGGGTTGTCACCAATGTGGTCCACACACACACACACCCACACCAGTGATGCCACTGTTCACATATGTGGTGGTTTACCTTGAAAATAGGGCTGAGCAATGAAACAATGTGTGTGCATTTAATAATAATAATAATAATAATAATAATAATAATAATAATATCCCTCTCCTCCACTTTTCTTCACCTCATTCTACCATTGGAAGCAATTTCCTCTCAAGCATCAAAGTTGTGCTCTATAACCAAGGTTGTCTACCATAAAGGTAAAGGTATTCCTAATTGACAAGGTTGTCAGGTCATGTCCAACCATAGGGGATGGTGCTCATCTCTGTTACTAAGCCAAAAAGCCAGCGTTGTCCGAGGACTACTCTGTGATCATGGAGCCATCATGATTACACAGAACACTGTTTACCTTCCCACCGAAGGAGTACCTATTTATCTACTTGCATTTGCATGCTTTTGAACTGCTAGGTTGGCAGAAGCTGGGACTAGTGATGGAAGCTCACCCCATCACTCAGCACCCAGGACTCAAATTGCCAATCTTTAATCTTGCAATCAGCAGAGTCCTCATCTTAACTGCTTGAGCCACTGCATCCATACAGCTCCACATACAGAGCTGTGTGATGATTGTGTAATGCAGCCCTTGTGATGAACAGCAGTGTTGTCCAACTGAATGCCATTTTCCAGCATTCCATGGCATTCTTTCCCTCCAACTATCCCCAACTTGAATGCACAGCGAAATATACAACTGACTGCACAAGCCACATGAGCATGTGCATTCACATATGCGGCCATGTCTCCACTGGATGTACTAAGACAGTAAGGCACTTAGGCAGCCTTGAAATGAATGTGGAAATTTTGTATCAGAGAAAAATATTTAACTGCTTCCATAGAGGAACTCACACTATGGTAGATTGCTAAAGCAAGAGAGGGGTGGGCTTTGCTCATATTTTCTCCCATGGCTCTCTTTATCTTTTACACTTTGAATCTTTCTCCTGCTTAATAGGCAAATCAGAACATGTGTTCGTCTGTGGTCAAAAACCCCAGCCTCTACATGGGTTCATTGGTTGCCCTTCAAATGCTTCCCCCATCCCCCAAATTAG